TCTTACCAGACATAAAGTTTCTGTTTCACCTGGATCAGAGGAGGAGACGTGAAAGCATTATCAGGACAAAATCACCACTTCAGAAGTGCAGTCTTAGATCACCTCCCCTACGCAATGACTGATTAGTGACTCCATGTTCAAAGAAATGTCATCTGCCTGTGGCTAAAAGTTCTTTTGAACACTTTTTAAGAAAAGACTTGGTATAGTCAATTTGCTTTTTATAACATCTATATATAATACAACAGTTATAGAACTTACACAGTTTTCCAAAAGTTACTAGAATTCTAAACATTCTAAGTTTTGGAGCATTTATGATATTTTTCCATATTTTTCCAAGTATTTTTTTGGTGATAGTTTTCCAAATACTGTACCTCTGTGAAGGAGGTGTGATCTAAGTCAGATGGGCCCGTGATACTAATTTTTGGACTGCACGGCAAAAGCAGAATGGCACATTCAGGCTGACTTTTATGCATGTGTACTTGCTTTATGCTAATGGTCAGAAATTAGCTTATACAATTAACAATTAAATTACACCCAGATCTGAGTGTTAAACTACTCAAATCAATATTGAGCTCCTAATTATACTGGTAATTCCTCTGTCTAGCATATCTGTTGCCAGGAGAGTATTCTTTAGCATTGACAGTTCAGAATTCCATTATAGGATTAGCCAAGTTAGGAGTTAGGCTTATCATTTTGGCTCTGAATAACTATAATAAAGTTTAAAAACCTGTGAATTATTCAAAACAATGCTTTATCCATCTTGCACCACGTTCTCTCCTGAAAACAAGTGCTCATGTGTTGTAGCAGCTGTTGACAGAGGTTTTCTCTCACCCAATATGAGGCTGAATTTTTCATTGCTAAATCACAATGTGCCTGGATCACTGATGGTATAACGGGGAATTACGTTCCAAAATTGCTTTAAAATTAGTTATTTCCTTTACACTTCCAATCATTTCATAACTAAGCACTTGAATCTTCAAGTGATCATTTGTATTTCATTGTCCTTCCTTTTCAGTACTAGGTAAGAGATAATTAGAAAGCCATCTTTGTGGATCTTTTCATTTCAAAATAATACCTATTATTATGTATGTAATCAGAAGTAGAGTGGCATAATTTTAAATATCTAAAATTAAAATGGAATTATATCTCATAGATAAGATAAATTAGTAAATGGAACACGATAACTTTTTTGCAAAAGAATTCCTTTGAATTACTCTGAAATAAAAATCCTATATTAATTTTGCCTCGTATTTTATTCTGTATCTTGTATTAAAAAAGTATTTTATATTCTTAGGTTATTTTTGTCTTATTGACAGAAATGCTACAATAAAGTGTAGAAAAAAGGTCATAACTTTATTTGTGTGTCTCAAATATATTATAATATATAACGTGAATAAAAATCTTTTTGACTGGCAAAGCTAGGAGTAGTTGTAATTTCACATTTATGAAATGGAAACATTTTCTTGAAAACATATTCTAGTTTCAAAATGAATGCAGAATGATTTTTTGTATAATTAGCACACATACTTGCAAAGGTTCAGATAAAATTAGAATTCAGTCAAGATAAAAAACTACTTAAAATGCACAAAAAAGGACCCACAATTAGAGACTGGAAGGGGGTTATGCACAATTGTGGGAATACATAATTCAAAATGTCACTCAGCACTCTACTTTGGAATAATATTAGTTGTACACTGATTCTCCTGTTTGGCAACTCAGAACATACTTTGGCTCAAAACAGGAAAATAAAAGGTTCTTCACATAGTTCACATGCTCCACATTCAATGATGGTGAAAAATGGAACACTTTCTGGCAGGTTTGGGAGACATCAAATTAAATAAGGTTGCTGCCTTTCACCTGGTTATGACTCTAAAACATAATTCACCTAGGCACAGAATTCAGTGCAGATTTCTTAAAGTCCTCAATCTATCTAACATTTATCTCATTAAGTAACACAGCTTAACATGGGCTAGTTTGAAACAGAGGAAAAAAACCTAAAAAGCAGGGGGAAAAAAAGAAGAGAAAGAAAGTTAAATGAATATATTGTAGACATTTAAAATCTTTTCAGGAGTCAAAAAACACATGCAGTTAAATTATTTTTACCTTGGCGTTTCATTCAGATGTTTCCTCAAGGCTTTCAGAAAAGCAGTGTTGAGAAGGAGAAAATAGCATAGGGTAGAATAGCATGAAAATACAGCAGAAAGGACTGTATAAGTGGTTATAGAAAAATGGCAGATAGTGACAGAATAGTCAATGGACAAAAGCAAATGTCAGCATAAAAGAAATCAGTATGAAGGCCCTGAAGCATGGAGAAAACTGTCTGCACACTAAACAAAACTGTTTACATAGTTTTGATTTATAGATGTTGCATCATGAATTTCAGTTACTGCATGAGACATTTCTCTTCAATCCAGACCTTGCCAGCAAATTGAAATATCTGATTTTCAAGCAACCCTTCAGAGAGAAAGAGTATTAGGTAACATATGATTGATGAGTATCTATAGTGTTATTTAAATTAATCTAATCTAATATACTCCCTAAGTCTAATAGTCATTGAGTCCATTGTTGCACTTTCAAAAGCTGAAAAAATGAATGGACCAAAATACATTTTTAAGCACAAGTTAAAACATAAAAAACCTTAAAACATATAGCTCTCAGTTTTGCCTCATGTTTTCAAGCAGCAGCATGGTTTCTTATTTTTGGATGGTTGGTGAGGTGTCTGACCATGAGCCTTTCTGAATGTTATGAGACATTGAAAATGCCTCAAATCCTGACTCGTATTATCTGGCACTAACATTTCAGAGCTCTTTAGTTTCTTGCAACCATTCCACATTAATTTGCACTGCAGCCACTGATAGTTATTCAAGGAGCAATTCTGGCCAGAGTTGGTTGCCCAGAAGAAGTTGTCTGTTTATAGACTGAAGTTGCAGCATGCATATGAGAACAAGGTAAAATGTAATAAATTAGCAAGGCAATGTAAACACATGTAGTTACATGGCTGAGGGAGGCATTGTACAGAAGCCTGTCTTCATTTTTGCACACTAGTGAGTAGATGAGAATACAGAGTGCCATTGCATGTTTTGTACATTTAACATGTAAGATATACCTCACAGATCTTCAAAAAAATATGAAACAAATTCCATGATATAGAAAGTGCCTTTTCAGCAGACTGCCTGATGTGATCAGGCCCCCTGGGACATGGGAGAGATTCCCTGCAGAAGACATGGACTCAGGATGTTTTACATTATAGCTGCTTAGCATCACGTCTCTCTGAGATGCCATTTCTATGGCAGAACTAACCGTGTGAATATTCTTCATCTGCTGCAGTGTAAAGCTACTTAAACCAGTTTAAGCCAGCTTTTCATTGGAGAATATGAAGTGTCTTTATGTAGTCAGTTCTAACATAGCTCTACACCAAACTCCAATAAAACTTTTAAACTACTGAAGGTGGCAACTTTTTAAATCAGTCCATTGGAATTCTGTTCTGGTTACCCAGTCTACAAATGTCACTTTCTGGAGGTCACTGCAGAAGTCTAAAACCAGCAATGTCTTAGCAATGGCTAAAAGTAGGGAATTTACCTTTTCAGCAAGTCCACCTTCATTCTTAGTAATACCTGAGATGGCATTTGGAAGCCACTTTGACTTTTATTTAGGTGGCTTCTAAAGCCGTATTACCTCATTTGGTCAGCTCTTTGATTTATTTGTTTGTTTTCTATACTGATTATAGGATGCAGTAAGCCTTAGTGTAAGCATGTGGCAAAGTGGTTGCCTAATTGGGGATATAAGAAATGAGAGTGTTTAGGAAATAAAGAAAACAAATGAAAAGACCAGCATAAAACTGCTATTTTGAGTTGCTGTCAGAAAATAAAATGCAGAACTTCACCTGCCATGAAAATTTTATAGAATGAATATTAATGTTATGAAGAGAAGTAGGGTGGATTTGCATTATGTATTTGACTTGTCCCTGGAGTGAACAGGCTGACACAGACTTGTAACTGCATTAACTATAGCCAAATTTTAATTGAAGATGATTGATTGTTGAGCTTTCTGTTAATTAACCTCTTATTCTGCATTTTCCTACAGAGTGCCCTTTCAAAATAAGTTTTTTAATTTAATCATCAAAATATGGTCATGAATTTCACTTACAAAAGACACCTTGTCCTGGAAAAAGAAAAGAATGCATAACAGATAAAATACAACTGGATTTGAGCTCACAAAGGTTTTCATGAAAACCAAAAATTATTTAAATCTAAGCTAGTTACTCACCATTTCAAGAAGCCCAGTCCTCAGAAGCTCATAGGAACCTGGTCCTTGTAACACAGAGGTAAGCTCTCACGAATCCATTTTAGTAACAGAAAGATAAATAATTAATTTTTTAAAAATTATGCCTGAAAACCTCTCCCCCCATTTAGTTGCAACCAACTATTTTTCCTTTGAGCTTTTATTTCTCCCCTTAGTCTTAGATTTCAAATTAAATACATATTCAATCTCAAAATAAAATTTTATCATTGGGTCTGTATGATTTGCTAACAGGGTTGTTCACTTTGTGTGATTCCTCACCCTGGCATAATGCAAGCTTGTTTCCTGATGCAAAATAGATTCTTTCAAAATCACTGTATTTTTTTCAGGATTGTGTACTATGAAGGAACCTTCTACATACCGTGACATGAAGAAAGGGAGGGATTCTTCTCTAGTCAATATAGTGAAAACAAAAACAGCTGTTCTACATCTAATCAGGTGTCACGCCATCACTCTCCAGCTGCCCCACAAATAGCACCTTTGAAACATCTTGTCATGACAATCTAATGCAAATTTCAGCACCTTTACCTCCCAGTGCAAAACAGATCATGATTCACAGAAAACCAGAAGGAAAACAAGGCTGTTAAAATGATTTACCTTTTTTGGGATGGCACACTGTTCCGTTCACATTGAGATTTAGGGAGGGATTAATCTAAACACTGAAGTCATCCCAGCTCTGGAGGACTAAGCCAAATTGTTTCTCTGCACTCCATCAGTGTGAGTCCAGGAAAAGAGATAGACACCCCAGACAGTGATCAACTCATTTTAACCCAGGTGTCAGAGGTAGCATGATGAATTGCTTCCTAAGGTACCTTTCTCTTTTCACTGGCTACAGGGGAAGCACACTAGATACTTTATTTAATAAACTAAAATCAGATGAGATTAAACTCAAGAAACTCCATGGGAGGTGCAGAGAGAAGGACCAGGAAAACATGAACAGAGCACAATGAATCGATAGTTGTTCAATATTTCTTTTTAGACTCACCTCTCAATGCATGCCCTATCCATTATTTACTGCTCTCCATCCAAATGCAGCACTGAATAGAGAATCACTCATTTTCTCATGGGCTTTCCCATAGTACTCTCATAGTAGTGCTCTAGTCTCCACAGATATTAATGAATTTATCTTCCTGACACTCTCATGGGGTTGTTATTTTTCTCTTGAATGTCGTGAGTGAAGACACTGAAAAAAAAGAAAAAAGGTCCTCTAATGCTGTTTCCCCCATGTAACATGCCTGGCAGCTGGATTTTTCAGAGAATTTGGTGACTTCAGGGTTTCATAAAGTTAAAGTACTGATCCTGTTCACTTCTACTGCAATTATTTGCCATTAGCAATCACCTGAATAGTCTCCAGGTGTTTTAACATGGATACCCAGAGAAAGATGAAAGGAAAGCAGGGACTCAAATTTTAAGTTCTCTGCCATATTCATGACACACTTTCCAAGATCTTCAACCAGATTTGGACATTTTTCACTGTTCAGCTGTTCACTGTTCAGCTTTGACTCATTCCCTGTCTGAACATTCTTTCTGAATATTCTTCCTGTATTTCCCCTCCTGGCTGGGAGATCCGTAGTTTTTTGGCCTGTGAACAGTTGCACTCAATGATCTCAGAGGCCTTTTCTAATCTTTGTGATTCTGTAATTCCATGCTTCATATATCCTCAGACATAAAAAGTCATAATCCAAGCCACATCCCAGGCCCTTTGCTGATGTGAACAGTCCCTGTGCCGAGGCAGAGCAGAGGGGTGCACTGTGCTGGGGACAGAGAGGGCCATCAGCAAGTTAAATAAAAATGCCCGTAAATCAAACGTGAGCATTGGACCCCTGACCATTGACATTGCTGGCTCTTCTTTCTCTGAAAGAAGTTGCCAGGTGAACAGGGGTGATTGTCTTCTGGATGGCCAGGCCATGGCAGAGATCACGGGACAGTGTCCACCATGGCATGGGTACCCCTCCGGCTGGAGGAGCTGTGCCTGGGCACAGTGGGAATAAGCATCTCAGTGCCACTTGGTTTCAGCAGCAGGAGCTGATCCTTGATCCTCTTATTCAGCACAAACCCTCCTCCAGGGCTGTGCAGTCCTGGACACAGGACAGAATGCCCTGTGGAGGGGTGTGACCTCTTTCCATAGCCCTGCTCCATGGTGTCAGCCTTGGAATACATGCACTGAAGAGTACAATCACATTTTATGAAAACATTCGTGGTAGTGTTGTGGCTGAGATGGACTAGAGGCACAAGACCAGCAGAGTTTGCAGAAGGAAATTCAATTTTCTATTAATTATGGAATAATGAAGAATAAATTTTTAATCACCTAGCTCTAAATCACGCTTGTGTTTCAAAACCAGGGTGGGGTTCTTTAGGTGTTAAACAGCCCTAACCCCTGAAAAATAGCAAAAGAAAGCCTTTTGTGTTTATGAAAGAATTGCTGCCAGAAAAATGTTTTTGCCAGTGCTGCGATCTGTCCAGACTGTGTGGCAGGGGTGCACCAGCTGGATATGTTATAGAGTAAGCTTTATTATTTCAGTGAATTCCAATTACTCTATCAAAATAAAAGACTGTTCCTCTTAGGAGGAAATAAAAAAAATGTTACAGGAAGAACTTAGAATGAAAATCATCAATAGCATGGTCTTGATATTAATTTAATCAAAGTTAAACCATGAGAAGCACAAATAGTAAATTAAAATCAAACAATGTTTATGAAATCAGTATAAGTCTTGGCTTGTAACTTGATATAAAAATAAGAAGTGAATAAGATATTTAGTATTGCCAAGCTAGTAGATTTCCAAAGTTGAATATGGGATTAATCAGAGTCCATTAATCTTACTTTTCTGTCTATATAATACATAAAGAAATTTTACTTTTTCAGCCTCACTAATAATTTTTACCATTAACATTTCTTAGTTCACACAAAGCACTCATATACTGCTACATTCCTGCTTTTAATAGGAATAGTTCCTGTAAGAAACTGTGCAAAATATAGATTTGACATTGCACTGCTTCTGTCTTCAGAAGTCCTTCTTTATCTTCGCATCCATTAGCTGACTGTTTGCAGTATGGATTTATTTCAGTCTGTTTCTTACACCATCAAGGTCTTTAAATGAAGTTCTGCCCCTGTACATTAAAAGACTTCTTAATTTGCAGTTTCATATTATACGAAGATTAACAGTAGAAGGTTATTAACAGTGCAAGGTTATTAACAGCGTGTATAATATTATTTGAACCATAGCAGAATCCTGTGGAAACCCATTTCAGTATAACATCATTAGCGACAGAAGTATTCTGTGCTTTTTCCTAGAAGGACCTACAATAAATTACTGCAAATCAGTTTGCATTTTAATCTCCTCTTCAGCTAGCAGCTGACAATTTTGTGGTCTATTAGAAGCCGTGGTTGCTCAGAGTAAAGGTTGAGAAGTGGCTGTACTTTACCATTGTCAAAGCTAATAATAATATCACTATTATTTCAAAAACTTTTCTTTCTGGTTTACTTAAAATCATTTCAGATACACTTGGAAATTTTGGAGTTTAAGCCTAGCATTCAGTAAGCTAATTTCTTAAACTCTGATGAGGGCCAAATCCCATAATATCTCACTTGAGCATAATCTAGGAAGGAGAATAGGGGAAGCAAAGAAATTATATCAGCTATTTGGTTTATATCAGAAATTTGGTTTGTAAGGTGCTAGAGGTTATCATTTCTGGCTCTAAATGGGGCTTACAATTAGGCACCTCTGAGATTTGTTAGCAATCCTCAGCAGAATGTCTTTGTCCCCCAAGCTCAGCTGATATCAGGGATAGCTCAGCAGTGTGTTTTCCCCTGCCTCACCACAGGCACCCACATGGACAGCAACCCATCCAGAGCTGTGTCTAGGAAACGCTGTCAACATTGCTCACAACACCTGCACTGATGGTTCCACTATCAAACCACATGGCAGGTGTAGACATCTTAAATTGCCTTGACTGTTTATAAAGCAATCATAAAGGTCTAAGCTTTTAATCAGCACCTGAGCTGAAAACACCACAGACTTAGAGGAGTCTGCTAATACATCAAGAGCATACACCCACACATACCAAACAAAACTCTTCTTGTCCAAGCCAAGGGAATGCTTTCCCTGTAAAGTTGTAAAATCTCACAGTTGTTCTCAATTCTTGTTCCTGTGAGACTTTCTCATAAATTCCTTGCAAAATCAACCTAGGTGCACAAAGATGCACTTTAAAAACACTTGTTCTAGTTTTCTACTAGAAAAATAAAAGAAGGATTTGCAGTTGAAGGATAGACTTATCATAATTTTGTAACCAAAATATCCTCAACCCTAGGAGCCCTGTTTTACCAGCACTTTGTTTAAATTCCCTGCTGCAACATATCCTGTGTGATGCTCATATAGATTTGCCCCTGGCTGCTATCACTGTTTTTTTTAATCTTCGTATTGTCCAGCCCTACTCAGACAAGGGCTGTAGTGCAGTTCCAGACTTCATTTCCTCTGGTGACAAAACCAATTTAATAAATTTCAGCCCTTTCTCACCCCAGTTATTCGTTCCCTCCTGTGGTACCACAATTTATCACCTCTTAGTTGTGCCCATGTTGCAGGACAATGTGTGTTCAGTGCATGCTCTAAATTAGATTAATGAAATAATCTGGGTTGAAAAGACCCCCTTTTTTTTTCTTTCTGGAGCATTTTTCTTAGCTTAGAACATTTTGTTGATTCTATTGAGTAAAATCTTATCAAGCATTCCACTGGCAGAGCTGAGGAGATAAATATCAGTAAGGGAATGGAAGCAAGCAGCTTGAAAGGAAAATATTGTCAGAAGGAAAATTGTTCATGAACCTTCATCCTTAGAGACTGGAGAACCAGGAACACCTGTTTTCTATGATATGGAAACTCTGCAGTGCAAGAAAGCCTTGAAAGCAAATTTAGTCATGACTATGAAATCCACAAATATCAAAGAGCTCTTAAAGTCTAACAAGTACTTTGGAATTTTTATCTAGAACAGAAAGTTGTTATTTGTTTCTTAATTTGATTGTCTATTCAGCTCTCTGCTTGGGTCCTGAATTTGCAGATCTGTAACAGCTGACTTTTCAGTTTCCATTTGAAAAGTTATTTTTACTGATTCAGAAGAAGGTTCTGCACCCTCATCACTCACATTTTTGTTGCATGGCTTCTTTTTAGCTAAGAGTGTGAGGTACACTGACACAAAACAGACAAAACCTTGAACACATAGCCTGTGACATTTGTGAAACACACAGAACTTCTGTGTACAGTGCAAAGCAACAGCCAAAAAGTCCACGACTGAGATCTCAACAAGAAATGAAAACGCTGGAGACACCCCTCTCACCTCTAGGCTCAGGTAACAGGTATGGAGGGCATCCCTAGCCCAGCTCAGCAGGACCACACACAGCAGGGCTGTAGGGAGCTGTGCTCTGCCAACACCAGGGCAGGAGCTGACAGAAAAAAGAAAGTACGAGTGAAAGTGAACCCAGGGGAGCCCTGGGTGTGGGCAGGGAAGGGAGCTTCTCTATGCCCTTGGGGCCACGAGAGGCCAAGAGCCAGGTGAAGGAGTGATGGGGTGAGGGAGGATAGTGTCATACAATAAATCTGCCACAATGCATTCGCCATGGGTTAGGTGAGAAATTGCAATGATAAATCCTTGCAGATTTCTCAGTTTGCTGAATGCAATTTGTTGTGATATTGATATAGAAATAAAGCAGACTCTATGCCTCCAAGCCACTGAAAAGCAATCATAAAATTACTGCAACCAATAAACTTAACACAATGGAAACAGAAATGTAAAATAAATGTTTAAGGCCTTCTGTTGTCTCCTGTGAAAGGAAGGGCGTCTGCTCTATTCTTATAAAAATCTCAGAAAACATTTTGGACAAAATTTATTGCAAATATATTTTCATTCAAGCCTGACTGCTCCTGCTTCCTTCCTCCTCCCACTGCGTTCCTGATTTAAAAAAAACCTAGGTTTGTTATGTGGGTCTCTCATTCCTCAGTTTTTCCTTTAATCTCATGGGAGTTTAATCTCTTTGGGATATTAGTCCACAAGGGAAAGACAAATATTTTGCCCTCTTCTTCCTTATTTTATGAACAGGTAAAGCAGTTTAAAAAAAAAATCAATAAGGTAAGTAGAGAGCCAATCAGTTGTTTGAGGGTATTTTCCTACGTTGAAGAAATAGTTTAGTGTTCTTAC